TGCTCAAAGATGATTTTAAGGGTTTCTAGATAAAACTGAAGGATGGGAGACCACATGGAAGGTGCACGAACCTAGGAGATAGAGACAATATTGTCCACATAGAAGGTGCATGAACCTAGGCTGGAATAAATATTCCATTTCCAAATTACTACATATGACTAGATATTCTAGATTTACATAAACTACATGTGTGTCTTATCTTTCCATTGGTTCGCTTTTTAGTTTTAATTGTACTTAGGTAAACTGTATTTAAAATTAAATATTAAAATATTAATAGTGTGTGATGAATAAAAACATAGAAAGACATAAAAAAGAATTAACAATATCAAAAACATAATAGAACGATCGAGATTAGAGATTAAAGAGAACAAACAAAATCAAAAGCATAGGAGGCATGATATCTAATGGAGGCTGGGGAAGAGAGTCGATCGACACCACAAATTAAGTAACCGATTTGAACAATCGAGATAGACTCGATTTGAGGAGGCTTTATCCGTTAGAGGCGGTCAATGTATCCGAACCAAGTTGTAACTCTTGTACATATCTATTTATTATATTATTTGAGCAGTAACTATGGTTCAAGTTTAAAGTTGACATTTGAGATTATTATGCTACCTTGTTATATATTCTCTTCTGATCATCCCCATCATCATTTACAACAACCTCTAATATATGCTTTTGAGATTAATATATGCTTTAAAAAAACTTTAGAAATTCCTAAGGTACATGTATTCATGCAAGCACAAGCATATATATATTACTGATAACTAGGTGCGAGTAAAAATACTCATATCCAAAATCCGATCTGTTTCAAAAAATTAAGAAAGTTAAAAAGTTTCCGAACCCATGTGGACAATATTAATGTTTAAACAGATCAATGAGCTATACTAATCAAATAGCACTCGTGATCTTCTCGTAATTTTCGGAGTCTGATTGGTGCTTAAACGCGCTCTTGAAGTTGGATGAGCTTGTGAAGGAGGGAAAGTGTAAATTCCGAAAAGATTTTAAAGAAACTATGAAAAGACAATCTATCTCTTCAATTTTAAGACCGAAGACGGTGGAAAAAAAACAGAGTCGATGAATGAGATCGTGG